AACATGGATGAAACTGGAGGACATTATGCCAAGTGAAATAAGTCAATCACAAAAGGACAAATATTGTATGAAAGCGCTACTTTATAACTCATGTAAAAGTTCACACACAAAGAGAAACAATCTTTGTTGGTTATGAGGGGTGGGAGGGATGGGAGGCATGGCGGGAACTAAATAGATAAGTGGTAACTTTGTGAAGGGTAAGACAGTACACATTACTGGGGAAGTCAGCACAACTCGTACAAGGGAAGGTCATGGAAGCTCCATAGACACATCCAAACTCCCTGAGGGACTGAATTGCTGGGCAGAGGGCTGTGGGGACCATGGTCTTGGGGAACATCCAGCTCAATTGGCATAACACAGTTTATAAAGACAATGTTCTACATTCTACCTTGGTGAGCAGCGTCTGGGTCTTAAAAGCCTGTGAGCAGCCATCTAAGATACTCTGCTGGTCTCACCCCTTCGGGAGCGAGGGAGAACAAAGAGAACAAGATACAAAGAAAATATTTGTCCAAAGGACTAATGGACCATAGCTACCACTGCCTCCACCAGACTAAGTCCAGTACAGCTAGATGATGCCCAGCTACCACCACTGACGGCTCTGACGAGGGTCACAATAGAGGGTCCTGGACAAAGCTGGAAAAGGATGTAGAACAGAATTCTAACTCACAAAAAAAAAAAAAAAAAAGACCAGATTTATTGGCCTGACAGACTGGAGAAACCCTGAGAGTATGGCCCCTGGATGCCCTTTTAGCTCAGTGATGAAACCCATCCTGAAGTTCACCGTTCAACTAGGGATTGGACAGCCTCATAAAACTACAAACAGGACTAATGAGGCACAGCAGTCCAGGGACAGGGACTAGAAGGCAGGAGGGGACCGGAAAGCTGGTGATAGGGAACCCAAGGTTGAGAAGGGACAGTGTTTACAGGTCATGGGGTTGTTAACCATTGTCATAGGGCAATATGTGTACTAACTGTTTAATGAGAAACTATTTCTGCAAACCTTCATGTAAGGTAGAAAAAAAAAAAGAATTATCTATGTGAGATCAAATGGACAACAGCAACTCAAAAGTTTTGATGGGAAGCCTAGGGAGCAGTGACTTGAAGATAATGGTGATGAAATAATTTGGAAAAGGATAATGAGAATAGCAGCACAACTGGAAGAATGTAATTGATGTCACTGAATTGTACGTGTAGAAACTTTCATAACGGTGTAACTCTGGCTATGTATATTTTCACCAAAAAAACAGTCCTCAAGGTCGAGAAGGGAGAGGGTTGACACATCGTGGGGTTCTTAACCAATGTCATAAAACAATATGTGTACTGACTGTTTAATCAGAAACTATTTGTTCTGTAAACCTTCATCTAAAGTACAATAAAAAAATTTAAAAAAAAATCAAGACACATTGCATTGTGCAAATCTGCTGCAGAAGACCTCTTTAAAGTGTTGAAAAGCAAAGATGTCACCTTGACGACTAAGGTGCACCGGACCCAAGCCATGGTGTTTTCAATCGCCTCATATGCATGTGAAAGCTGGGCAATGAATAAGGAAGATGGAAGAAGAATTGACACCTTTGCATCGTGGTGTTGGCGAAGAATATTGAATATACCATGGACTGCCAAAAGAACGAACAAATCTGGCTCAGAAGAAGTACAATCAGAATGCTCCTTAGAGGCAAGGATGGTGAGACTATGTCTTACATACTTTGGACATGTTGTCAGGAAAGATCAGTCCCTGGAGAAGGACATCATGCTTGGTAAAGTACAGCATCAGCAAAAAAGAAGACCCTCAGTGAGATAGTTTGACACAGTGGCTGCAACAATAGGCTCAAGCATAACGATTGTGAGCATGGCCCAGGACTAGGCAGTGTTTTGTTCTGTAGTACACAGGGTGGCTATGAGTCGGAACCAACTTGACGGCGTCCAACACCACCAGCAGCAGCAGCAGCACGGCCCAGCTCCTGAGGGGCTCAGCCCAGACATGACACAGGGATGGGAGATGGTGCTGAGCCGTCCTGCCGAGGGCCTGAGGGGGTTGCCATAATTCAATGCCTCCATAGGGAAGGAGGTCTCTGGTCACTCTGCCCTTTCAGGAGCCAGCCCATTATGTTACTAGAATTCCCTGCTTCTGCTGATAACCAGGCTAAAGGTTTACCCTGGAGCGATTTCCCCAAAGTTTGGAACATGGACCAATGGAAAGACTTGAGATGACTGCAGGTGTTAGACAGACATGGGGCCAAGTACGCTGAGTCACATAGTGAAGTTATTCCCTTTTCCAACGTCTTCCAGTTTTTTAATGAACTCAAGGGGAAAGTTGCATGTTGGTACTAGTATGCCTTTAACACCTCTCCGACAACTCTCCTCATTTGTTTCCTTTTATAAAGAAAGAACGAGCCAGTCCTGGGCCCAGACCCAGGTGCACAACAGTAAGTTGCCAGAAAATAATAGAAAACATATGGTTTTATTATCCATGTATTTACATTTGTTGGGTCTCTTAAATTTAGGACAGGTGATCCTGATTTTCCATTACAGTGGTGATTTAGTTTCCTTTTTAGATAAGTTTATTTAAATAAATGTGAGTTGGTTTAAATTAAAACATCAAATAATACAGCCAGTCCCTGGGTTACTAACGTCCGACTTAAGTACAACACGTAGTTACGAACCAACACCCCCCATAAAACCCATCAGGAAAAAACGGACTCAGTGCTAACTGGGCTCCCACGACACGACACGCTTCTCCCGCGTGCGCACGTGCCGCAGCGGGTCCTTCGACGGCTGCTGGCCGCCGGTAGACCCCTCCGCAGCAGCGAGCGGAGAGCCCACGTGCGCCGCTTCACTGCCACCCCATCCGCGAGTGCCGAGCACCGCCGGTCCGCTCTGCTTGGCAGGCCTACAGGTGGTGGCCGCCCGGAGGACGGGACGCGAGCTCCGCGCTCTACCTGTTCCCCGGGGTACAAACGGTCAGGGCGCCGCTGCGGGCACACGGCCGGCCTCCGCGGCGCCCCCTTACCCAGCTCCACCCACCCCAACCCGCCGGGCCCTCGGTGCTGTACAGCCGGGGGCCATCGCAGCCTCTCTCTCGACTTCTGTTTCCCCTGCCTTACACAAGTGGGATTTCACTATTGCAGCGGTTCTTGGCCTTTTGGTGGCTGGAAGGGGCGGGGGTGGGGGGACAGTCTTGGATTCCCGACCTCTGCGTGTCCATATGGTTTCCTGGGGTCCATGGAGAACTTCAGACTTGGGTTTTCCTAAGCATCCTCTTCCCAACCCTTGGGCCCCGGCAGAGGCTATCTACGGAAAACAGCGCCTATGGCAAGCACTGAAATGCACCCCCGAGCAGGGGAGCAGGGGCATGGCGAGGGTAACACGCGCTCGGGGACAATCTCTAGGTTGTGGCCCCTCCCCCAATTTCCGGATAAATAGATGCTGACAGCAGCGCAGGGTCAGCAGAAACGCCTTCCCGCCTCCTGTCGGGCTACCTCAGTCAGGTTCCTTTTGTATTTGTGGCGTTTTTGTCATTCAGTGCCTCCTCTGGCGCCCCCTTGGCCTTGGACGGTGAGCCTGCCCCCTCACCATAAGCCTCTGTGTCTGCTGTGCTTGAGGAAGGACGTCGAGCCATATCTGGGTTAACAGAAACTGCTCGGCGCCCCCCTCACCGCACCCCCCGCCTCAAGTGGCGCCCAGGGCACGTGCCATAACTGCCGTACCTTAGGCATTTCTCTGGTGCCCCCCAGGCTCGCTCTTAGCACATCCTGAGGGGCACTTTCTCCTTTGCACCCGGAGGCAGAAACCTCATACGTAGTTGGGGCCTGGGTTCGACAGGTCTGGTGAGGAGGTGAGGGAGGCATGCTCCATTTGGCCCCAGCACCGTCTTATCCATGACCCCAACCCCCATTGCCTCTGCTGAGCAGGGTTCAAAACCCGGCAGAAATGCCGTCTAGTGATACAATGTAGATTTTGTAGTTCAGAGTCTACAATAAAGTATCTAACTGGTCTCAAAGATTTTGCAGAATAGAATCTTCTGAGTATTTTGGGTAACGTCTTCTCTGTGGGTATCTCTTCAGCTGTGGAGAATGTACATACAATGGTTCCTAATAACAAAGGGGCACTACTTTTCAACTCACATCAAAATGTTATTATTACTGTATTATTATGTTAAAGATGTTTTAATTTATCTGGAAGTATTTCTTTAATGCTTTTTATGCACAGAAAGGTAAACTATATACTATAAACTAAGACAAACATTTGACTGTTACAGATACAAACTGAACCTTACCTAACTATTCCAATTTACGTACAAACTCTACTTGAAGACAGATTTAGGACCGGAACTCGTTCATAACCCAGGGACTGCCTGTAATACAGGATATGGCAAAAATTGGGATAGGGTACACGAATGCCTGGAGCCATGGTGGTGTGGTGGTTAAGAGCTCAGCTGCTAACCAAAAGGTTGGCAGTTCAAATCCATCAGCTGCTCCTTGGAAACCCTATGGGGCAGTTCTGTTCTGTACTATGGGGTTTCTGTGAGTTGGAACCCACCTGAGAGGACCTAACAACCACACAAGTGCCTCGTGTTCGGGGAGTATGATAATCGGGTACACAACCCTGCACAGAACCCCATCCCTCCCTGTACTGCATCCTCTTGCCCTTATTTTCTCTTCCCTTCATAAGTCTCCTATTGCAAATCCCTAGGAAGACCATTGTGAATTTGCAGAGAAGGGAGTGGATGGGAGGGGCTGGTGTGGGAGAGGCCATGTGCCCAGAGTCAGCTGGGTGCTGAAATCCCTGCTCTGGCCCCAGGTCACCACGATGCCAGAATACTTAAGGAAACGCTTTGGCGGCACCAGGATCCCCACCACCCTGGCTGTACTCTACCTGTTAATGTACATCTTCACCAAGATCTCGGTAAGGCGGGGACACAGCCTGGCCACGTCCCTTCAGCGTGGTAAGAAGATAAGTCATAGTTCATTGCTGGGGGCGGGGGGGTGTTATCCATTTTCTCCTCTTCTTGGGCAGGCTTCAGTGTGGGAGGAGAGCCGCTGCCTAGATGCAGATGGGAGCAGGGAGAGGGTACACATGGGCAGAGGAAGTAGAGGAAAAAGCAGAGGGAAGGACCTCCCCCACTAAGCTTCTTTGGCAGCATCTCTGGATGGTGTGGGTCGCTGATAGGACTCCAAGAGCCTTATCAGCCTTCGAGTGATACCATTATCTTCCTCCTGGGATCAGGCGCTGATTAGCCATTAATCAGGTGTGCAGATGGCCTGCCCCACCCTGACCTTTGGACTGGCAGATATGGAAAATGGTAAAGAGTAGATGCCTTGCAACCCTTGGGCATGTGCCGTTCAGCCAGCCCGACTCACACTGGGGCTGCCTTCTCTCCCAGCTGGGAAGGGTGGCGGGATGGGAGGACAGACAGGATTCCATTCAACCTAAACAGCAATAACGGAGTCTGTGCTGGCTCCAGATGTGAGGGGCAGAGACACAGGCTCCTTTCTAGAATGCTCACTCACTGTCTGGTGGGAAGGTGCAGATGCAGGGAAGGCTTCATCAGGGAGGTTACGTCTAAGGCAGGGCTTACCAGTTAAAGAAAGGCGGACTGGCATTCCAGATAGATGGACAAGCACAAGAAAACCTTGGAGGCATGGATGAACATGACGTGTTAAAGGAACAGGGAGTATTTCAGAGTGCCTGGACCACAGGGAATATGAAGTGAGTAAAAGAAATGAGGCCCGAGAGGCAGGCGAATCGTAAAGTTTAGACTTTATCTTGGGGTTATGGATTGAATTGTGTCCCCCAAAACTGTGTGTCAACTTGGCTAGGCCATGATTCCCAGTATTGTGTGGTTGTCCACCATTTTGTGGTCTGATGAATTTATCCTATGTGTTGTAAATCCTAACCTCTATGATGTTAATGAGGCAGGATTAGAGGCAGTTATGTTAATGAGGCAGGATTCAATCTACAGGATTGCGCTGTATCTTGAGTCAATCTCTTTTGAGATATAAAAGAGAGAAGCAAGCAGAGAAAGAGAGGGACCTCATACCACCAAGAAAGAAGTGCCAGGAGCAAAGCACATCCTTTGGACCCAGGGTCCCTGCACTGAGAAGCTCCTAGACCAGGGGAAGACTGATGACAATGACTTTCCCCTAGAGCCGGTGGAGAGGGAAAGCCTTCCCCTAGAGCTGGAGCCCTGACTTTGGACTTCTAGCCTCCTCTACTTTGAGAGAATAAACTTCTGTTTGTTAAAGCTAACCACTTGTGGTATTTCTCTTGTAGCAGCACTAGATAACTAAGACACTTGGGGACAATGAGGAAGCACTAAAGAGTTGTAATGGGGAGGAGGATGACACGGCCATGATTTGATAAAGGCTGTAATGTGGAGGATGGCATGTAAATGGACTAAGAATAGAAGCAGAAAGACCAGTGCGGTGGCTGTTGCATTAGCGTAGAACAACTTAATTGTCCACAGGGCTCCAGTTTGAGACTCCTGATCTGGGCAAAGATGAATGAAGGAAAGATGATTTCTGACTCGTATGTGTCTGCCAGAATCTAGGCTATGGCCTGGTCTCAGGGGACCTACGCAGCAAATTCCCATTAATTAATTAATTCATCCATCAACTTTATGTCTCTATAGGTGGATATGTATGCAGGCGCCATCTTTATTCAGCAGTCTTTGCACCTGGACTTGTACCTGGCCATAGTTGGGCTATTGGCCATCACGGCTCTATACACCATCACAGGTATGACTGAAACCTTACTCCACTGCCCCAGATACGTAAGATTTCACTTGGCCACTGATCAAAGGAAGAGAGTTGCCTGATAAGAGAGAGAATTTCAAAATACATTACAACTGCATAAAGCTATTTCCCATTTATTTATTCAAGAACTATTTATCAAAGACCTACTAAGTGCTGAGCGTGCATACCCACGCACTATACAAAGCTAGATAATCAACTAATGCAATTCTGGAGCCTGAGGTCTGGCAGCCTCATCTTTCCCCTCAGACTTCTTTCCTGAAAGAGTGCCTAGCACATAGTAGGCCCTGGACAATGTATCTGGTTTTGAACATTCATCCACTCCAGCTTCAGCCTTCTCTGCCTCCTCTTGGTGTGATATAATTCACTCCACAAATTATATGCTGTATATCTCCCTGCGTGGTGCAGACGGTTAAGTGCTCGACTACTAGCCAGAAGGTTGGTGGTTTGAACCCACCCAGAGGCAGTTCAGAAGGCAGGCCTTGAAAACCCTGTGGAGCACACAGTTCTCCTCAGGCACACATGGGGTTGCCATGAATTGGAATCAACTCAACGGCAACCACCACCAATATATGTATGTACATATCACCTACTATGTGCCAAACACATGCTAGGAGATGGGGTACAGCAGTGAACAAAACAGACAAAATCTCCTCCCCAAAGAAACTTACATTCTAGAGGGGATGGGGAGATAGACAGTGAACAAGGAAACCGATCGATCGCGTCAGGATATGTTATTATAACCTGGTAAGTGCACATGAGAAACATCAAGCAGGGTGAGGAGATGAGGAGTACCAGGGGAAAGGTTCGTTTTTTAATATAGACTGCTCAGATATGTCCCTTCTAAGGTGATAGCTGAACCAGATTTAAACGATATGAAGGAAATACCCATGAGAGGTTCAGGGGAAGGGAATTCCAGGCAGAGAGAAAGGCAAGATGAAAACATGTTTTGCTTGTTTGAGGAATGGCAAGGGGCCCATGTGGCTGAAGCTAGGTGAAAAAATAGTTACACAGTTTGTGCCCTGCTCAACTCTGGGGCCAGGCGGGCCTTCCCACAAACCAATGTGAGCATGTCATGCCTTGGCACTGTACTACGCAGCAGCTGTAGTGATACGAGAAGGGGATCAGAGCCTGGATTTTGTTCTGAGGGCCATGGGACACCATCGGAGGTTCTAAACAGGAAAGAGAGAAAATCTAGCATGTGTATCTGGGGTGGAAAGGGAAAGGGGGAGAGTGCTGACGCATTGCAGAGATTGCAACCAATGTCACAAAACAATTTGCGTATACATTATTGAATGAGAAACTAATTTGTGCTGTAAACTTTCACTTAAAACACAGTTAAATGAAAAAAGAAAAGAAAACCTTACGGATCACAGAAAAAAAAGAATCCAGCATGTAGATCTTTCTGATGCAGAAAGACCTTGACTCAGTTCTCAGGACTAAGCGAAGTCAAGTGTTTGGGGCAACGGGAAAGGGACAGGGTGATTGCAATAGCTAATATATCTTTGTGTTTCCTTGTTTGCGGTCTGCCTCCCCCACTAGACTGTAAGCTCCATGAGGGCAGCGAACATGCTGTTTTGTTTGCCTCTGTAGCCCTACCACCTAGAACTGGGTAGGCACTCACCAGATATTGTTGAATAATTGAATAAAATACTCAACACAGTGCCTGGCACATGATAAATGCTCAGTCAATGCAAGTACAGAAACGATGGTGAATTAAAGTGGTACCAGATTTCAGGATCTCACCACACTCAGGTTGACTAGTCATACAAAACGGCAAGAGAGGATTGGGACTAGAATCTAGACCAGGTTTCCTATCTGTGAAGGGGCCCTAGCTGCATTCTTGCTGGCAAGGGAAGAGGAATTCTAGAACACCACACCCAAGTACATGTGTTGTATTGTACAGTGACTGTGCCCACTAGTAAACATGTTCAGATCAGATAAGTGTCCCTTCTCCTTAGGGAGGGAGGAAGGAAGGGAGATAAAAGGGCAGGGGCTGGAAAGATTGCTCTGTCAGTATGCCTATCCTTTTGCTACAATTATTGTCATTACAAAGATTTTCCGAGTGGCAAAACCAACAAGAATGCTCTGAGGCAGCTCGCTGGGACCCTGTTCAGGAAGCCTGCAGGAGCTCTGAATACCTAGTACTCACATCCTTTCTCTTGTTAAAAATAAATGTGCTCAGAGCTTGGGGAATGTGGCCAAGAGTCACTTGCTGTATCGGTTATATGTTGATGTGTAACAACAACAAAAACTGTTGCTATCGAGTCAACTGTGACTCGTGTGTCAGACTAGAACTGTGCTCAATAGGTTGTTCAAGGCTGATTTTTCAGAAGTCAATCACCAGACCTTTCTTCTGAGGCACCTCTGGGTGGACTCGAACCTCCAACCTTTCAGTTAGCAGCTGAGTGTGTTAACCGTTATAATAGAGGTGGTTCCTGTATAACAAACCGCCAAGTGTAACAAACACAAATTGAGGGGCTTAAAATAACAATGGTTGTTATTTTGCACTGTTCTGTAGGTTGAATGGGTGGTCATTCTGTTGGTCTCATCTAGGCTCACTTGAGTCACTGAAGTCAGATGGCAACTAGAATAGCTGGCTAGACCAAGATGGCCTCACTCACATGGCTGGTGGTTAGCTTGGGCTGTTGGCTGGAGTCCCCTCCATGTAGACCATCATCTTCCATTAGGGTAGACAGGGCTTCTTAAAGCATGGTAGTCTCAGGACAAGAGAGTGAGAACAGAAGCTGTAGGGTGTCTGAGGCCTCGGCTTGGAGCTGCACAACGTCACTTCCACCACATTCTATTGGTCAAAGCAAGTTACATGGCCAAGCCCATTTTCAAAAGTTAGAGAAGTAAACTTTATATGAACATGAAAGGAGCAGCAAAGTTACATTGCAAAAGGGACATGCATAGAGGGAGGAGTTATTTTGGCCATCTTTGCAAAAAATCAACACTAAGCAATCTTGTTAGTCAGGCGTTGACCTCCCAGGCTCCCTCTGCTACCTAGAATAACTCCTCCCCATCAGAGTACCTGACCCTCACCTCATTGCCCATCTCCCCAGGTGGCCTGGCTGCTGTGATCTACACGGATGCTGTGCAGACGATGATCATGCTTACGGGGGCACTCGCCCTGATGGGCTACAGTAAGTAGGGTCCCAGGGTCATTTGGGTTGGTGATGGCACCTCTCCTCTCTACAAGCAGGGACATCTGCTCTCATCACTGTGGTCAGCAGACCCTGATATCAAAATGCATACCACTCGGGAGGTTTGCTTTGCTTGAGGCATAGTTATTTTAGCTAAAAGAGAATTGTGCTCATAATAGAAACGTACTCTTTTTAAAGTAAAAATTAATAATCCCCTCTATTATAATATAAATAAATGATAGAACAAATAAATGAAAGAAGGGGAAAGGACAATTCTTCCTTACACAAGAATTCCAATGAATACATATAGATGAGTGAGAGAAATAGAAAATCACCATTAGAGCATCGCAGTAACGATTACTCCAGGCAAGAACCGATGTTAAAGTTAAGGGGTGAAAGTTTGTGAAAACAGGATATTTGCATAATCTCAGAGTATCTCATCCAAAATATTCGTTAATTACAAAGGCAAAAATTGTCATTTCACAATGGAGAAACCTGACAGACACCGCCATAACTAAAAGATCAGGGTTACTATCACCAGTAAGAAGACCTATTACTATCATGTACCTCTGATATGATGCACTGGGAAGAACACAACATCACCTCTGTGCTATCCTTGCCCAGAGTACACAACCTTAACACGATCATGAGAAAACACCAGGCAAACCCAAAATGAGGGACATGTTACAAAATAATTGACCAGTACTCTTCAAAAGTGTCAAAGGCAGGGAAAACAAAGACAGACCAAGGAAATGTCACAGAGTAGAGGAAACTAAGGATACTCAAGAAGTAAACGCAATGTAGGATCCCAGATTGGACTGTGGAACAGAAAAAGAACATCAGTGTTGAAATTTAATGGTCTGTAGTATTGTTATATTGTCCTTGTGTTAATTTCTTAGTTCTGATCATTGTAAGATGATAACATTAGGGGAAGCTGGATGAAGAATGTATGGGAACTCTCAGTACTGTTTTTTGCACCTCTTCTTTAAGTCTAAAATTATTTCAAAATAAAAAAATTAAATTAATAACTCTTTATTAAACACATGTGACCTAGATGTATTAACTCATTTAATGCTCATAACATCCCTATGGCATTATTGTCACCCTGAGTTTTTGGATGAGAAAACTAAGGCATTGCTTGTAAAACAATTTGCCCAAGGTTACCTAGTTAATAAATGACAAAGCCAGAACTCAAACCAAGGCAGACTGACTTAAGACCTCATACCCTTAATGACCATCCTGCCTGGTAATAATTGTTACCTTTGTGACGAGAGTCTTGGAGCAGGGGTCAAGGAACACAGGCAGGAATTTTATTTTAACCTTGTATCTTTCTGCACAGTTTGCATTTTGTTCATGTGCTACTTTTATCTTTCTAATGAAAATTAAAGGAAATAATCACAGGAAAAAATGTTTCACAATATGAACAGCAACAAAAATCATATATTGTTAACTTTAACAATAAATGTTTTGAAGCATCATAAAAAAGAAACACTTTACAGGTATATGGAAAGAGAAAATACAAATTAGTAATAAATATATCAAGGGCAAATGTCTAGCCTCCCTAGGTAAATTCTTGGTGTGGTTGCTATCATAAATAGCAAATCTTTGAACCTCCCAGTGCTGCATGAGGAGCTCCTGAAATGTCAGGTTTCAGAGGCAAGAGAGAGCCAAGATAGATCTTCAGATGGTCTGTTACTCCTAGCCAAACCTCCAGGTCTTTCCCCCTAAAATCATGGGGTCTCAGTGGGGGAGTTCCATTTTTTAACTCATTCCAATCAGTTAGGAGAGGAATTCTACACCTCCCCTTGATGGTCTTCATCAGTCTGCTATACCTTGTAGACATTTCCCCAAATCTCCACTGGTGCAGCCATCTACTCCCCAACGCCTCACCCCAGCGCTCTTGCAGGTGTACCCTCATTTGTATATTTCTTTGATTATTTCTATGAAATTTGAAGATAGAAGATGGGACAAAACTCCTGGTTTCCAGGGAGCTCTATATTCCTTATTTTGAACTGTACCATCTCTTAGGCATCCTTTGAGTTTTCTGCTTCCTCATTCTCACAGAGGGAGGTGGCTCTCCGTTGTCTTGTAGTTCACAAAAGAATCAGATGGGTTCTCTCACAGTTGGCTTTGGGTCCCTGCCCCCACAAAGTTCCTCCAGTATAAATCTAAGTAGTATAGGAGTATGGGGGCTGGGTAGCAAGCTGGGGACAATGAAGGAGGAGATCAAAAGGGAGATTTAGCTGAGATACCAGTCAATGGGCCCATAGTCATGTAATGCGGACTTTTATGCCTTGAACTAGCTGCAGAACCTCTCTGTGCCTCTGAGGGTTGGTGGTATAGCATAGAGGTTAACAGCACAGACTTTGTATCCAGATAATAATTGGATTCTGATTTCTTCCAGTTTCACGCCATACAGTACGAGAAGCGGTTAAGGAGATGTGGTCTCAATTATGTGACCATAGGCAAGTTACTCCTCTATTCTTGTTCTGAATCATAAAATTTACTTAAAGCGCTGTTGTGAGAATTAAATAAGTAAATATAAGCAAAGCACTCGGATCCATGTTTAGCTTAGAATAAGAGTTCATTAAATATTGCTTGAAAAAAAAATACAAGGAGACAAACTGCTGTCAGGTGAAATCTGAGAAGTGACTTTGCTACCATCCAAGTCTGACAATCTGTCCCTTGTGTCATTAGACCATTTACATTTTACGGAATTATTGACAAAGTTGGATTAAGATCTACCATCTTGCCAGTTATTTTCTATTAGTTCCGTTTGTCCTGCAGTTCCATTTTTCTTCTTTTAAAAATTATTTTAGTCGTGGCCCTATGGTTTGCAATATGCATCTGTAATTAATCGCAGTCTTCCTTCAAATAATATTATACTGCTTTAGGTATAGTTTAAGAACTTTATAATACCGTGCTTCCAAATCCTCCTTCCCATCTTTTGTGCTATTGCTGCTATACATTTTACTTTTAAATAGGCTATAAACCCCAATATGTTGCTCCTAGTTTTGCTTTAGACAGTCAATTATTTTTGGAGAAACTGAAAAGAAAAAAGTATTTTATATTAACCTTCATTTTAACTACTTCCCGAGATATTCATTTCTTGTAGTGAAGGTCTCCTTGTAATGAATTCTCTCTTTTTGTCTGAAAATATCTCTATTTCTTCTTCATTTTTGAAAAATATTTCACTGGGTATAATATTTTATAATGATAATAATCAGGAGGTTCCCCCTCCTCCCAGGACTTTAAAGATACCACTCCATTGTCTTCTGGATTGCAAAGTTTTTGAGGAGAAGTCTGCTATAATTTTTATCTTTGTACCTCTGTATGTCATGTGGGTTCCTCCCCACAATCTCCTCCACTTGGGTGCCTTCAAGATTTTTTCTTTATCTTTGATTTTAAGCATTTTGAACATGATTATATCTAGCTGAGGGTTATATATATCCTGCTTGGGATTCTCTGAGCTTTTTGGAATTGTGGTTTAATGTCTTCTATTATTTTTTGATAATTCTTGGCCATTATTTCTTCAGACTTTTCTTTTCTCCTATTCTCTCTCTTCTTCCGGGATTCTAATTCCATGTATGTTTGATCATTTGATATTATCCCACAACTCTCTTTTCTGTTTGTATTTCGGTTTGGGTAATTTCTGTTGACCTATCTTCAGGTTCCCTGATGGTTTCTTTGGCTGTGTTGATTCTACTGATGAACCCATTGAAGCCATTTGTCATCTCTGTTACCATATGTTTTTTCCCCTATCATTTCCATTAGACTCTTTCTTATAGTTCCCACATCTCTGCTTAAATTGTCCATTAGTTCATGAATGTTGTCCACATTTTCCACTAGAGCTTTTAACCTATTAATCATAGTTATTTTTAACTCTGTCTGGTAGTCCCAATATCTGGGTTATCTCTCAATGTGGCTTTATTTGTCTCCTGAGAGTGGATTGTTTATTCTTGCTTTTTGTGTGTGTGTGCCTCATAATTTTTTACTGACTATTGTACATAATGAATAGGACAGTAGAGATTGAGGCAAATTATATTTATGTCTGGAAATGGGTGTGCCTTTTCTTCTGCTAGGTCACTAGTGTGGGAGCTTGAGGCAATCTGGTTAGGAGGTGAGCTGGGTTTAGATTTGTTTGTTGCTCTGGTTTCCTTCAGTGCACCACCAGCTTCAAATTCCTCTAGCATTAGCTTATGCTCAGGATGAGTCTAGCTTGTCAGAGGGTTTATAAGCCTCTAATCTCAGCTTTTGGACTTTACTGTGTACTCGTAACTCGGAAAAGGGTCTCTGTCCATGCTCTTGCCCATCTCCCAGAAGTAGATTGCTGTTGCTTGTTCTTCAATGCTTGCTCTCATGTTCATGGGGTACAGGAAGAGTGTTCTGTTGTCCTGATCCTACCTCACTCTTAGACAGGCCTTTTGTGCCTGGGTCTTGGTGATGGGAGTTTCTACCAAGAACCTGCTCCAGAAGTAGGATACTAATAGTCTAGGCCCAGGAAAATTTTCTGCCCTTCACCCAGGGGTTGAGGGATTTTTTTTCATTTACCTGCCCTCAGCCCAAAGGGGTTTCCTGTAGACGGCAGGGCTTGCTACCCTTTCACCAAGATCTTCAGTTTTCTGTTTCTTAGAGGAAAAGGTCTGATTGGTGCTTTGTGCATTTCCCATGTGGCAGCCACTCCCTTCTTCCAGTCTGCACCACTCTCTCCTGGCTCCTGCCCTGCGCCCAATCTTTTTCATGAGAACCCAGTGGAGATCCATGGAGAAGAGCCTGCAAGTAGGTGTGAACTCCCCTTGTGTCTATTGCTGCCAGGAGTTTTATACTCACATGCTAGCCCATACTCAGACTTTAGCAATTTGTTAAAAATTTTAGCGAAATTCTTCTTACCAGTGTATATAGTGATTCTGTCTTTCTCCCATGCTCTGCTACCAGTGAGCCAATGTTCCCATCTCACCTCCCTTTGGGGCTTCCTGTCTGTTCTTAGATCTCAGGCCAGTTGCTTTCTCTGTGACCTTAGCACTCTGATGAATTCAAGAAAAGTTATGATTTTGCAGATGAACCAGTTTTACTCACTGTTAGTGTGAGAGTGCCACTCTTTCTAGGTTTCTGTCTTTTAGATGGAAGCCACTCATTAAGCCCTAAAGGCTTTGGGAAGTTCTGCAGTACAAGGGAAGGAGAGCATTATTCTGAATATGTCAGAGCATCCTGCTGACAATTTTATCTTTAGGGACTCAGAAGAAAATGTCAAGAATGTGGCATGTCCAGAATTACAGACTCTATGAAACACGTATGAAAGATAAAACTAAAGAGCAAACTGAGATGAGGAGAGAATAGGAGCAGATGAAAAAGGAAATGGATTAGAGAGGACTGTGATATATTTTCTAAATGCATTAGCAGAATTAAACCCTTCACCAGAGGATATAAACAGCATACCAAATGCTAAGAAAAATCAAATCAGTGATGACAACGAGTATAAGAAATTCTCACAAAATGCAGAGGAAAATGAAGAAATAATAAAATGATTTTTAAAAGATAATAAATATGGAGGACAGAGAACATAGATCTAACATTTGAGAATTTTTATTCTTAAAGATCAGAACAAATGGAACAGAAGAAATAATTAAAATCATCATAAAAGAAAACTTTCCTTTAGACAAAGGAAAATGTACCTAGGTAGGTATAAAGTGTTCACTGGATTTTAGGCAAAATCAGTGAAAAGGGATCCCCAGATAGAAGCATTATGAACAAATTTGGAAGTATAAGGATAATAAAAAATGCTAAAGAATCCACGCAGGAAAAAAGTGGTGAACCAAAAAAGATCAACAAACAACCTGGCCTCATTCTTCTCTTCTATAATACTAAAATGCCAGAAGATAGCGGAGTAAGAAGTATAGAGTTTCATGGGGAAAGTTGTATCCTAAGAATTAGATATCCAGCCAACTTGGAGTTTATGTGCCAAGGTTATAGAAGTATTTTCTAATAGGCAAGGACTCAGTAATGATAGAGGAGAATTCAAGTACCAGTCTTAAAGATACAAGAAAGAGAGAAATGAAAAAAAAAAATTAAGAGCTTATATTGTGTTTTAAAATGAACAGTGGTAAACTGATCCAGTTAAAATAGTTATATACTCACAAAATTGTTGTCAGTCAGCTTAAAAACTTAAGGCAGATTACATACTTTTCTTTAAAGAATATAATAATGTAATAGCAAATTGTCTGGATCTAAAACCACATGCTTTACTAACAAACACTAAAAAGTGTTGAGAGAGATGGTGTGTTATATTTCCCGTCAAATAAGAAAGACTCAAACATCAAGAGGAAGAAATAAAAAAAAAAACAAACATTTATATAATTCTTACCTTTTATATGTGGTGTGTATGTGTGTGTATGTTTCTTTCTTGAAAGGAAATAACAAGGAATCACAACCAAAGGTAGAGAATAAAATGGAATACAAAGTAAAAGTAAACATAACAGTTACAATACAAGTAAATGGGATATAATTTCCTGTTAAAAGTCAAGGCTTCTCTTAGCAATTATCAATATGTGGTGGGCACATGGCTGTTTGTTCTATTGTTCTTTTTACTTTTCTACATATTGTTTAAGGATCCCTGGTGGTGCAGTGGTTAATTGCTCAGCTGCTAACCAAAAGGTCAGCAGTTTGTACCCACCAGCTGCTCTGAGGGAGAAAGATGTGGCAGTCTGCTTCGGTAAACATTTACAGCCTTGGAAACACTGTGGGGCAGTTCTACTCTGTCCTATAGGGTCACTACTAGTTGGAATTGACTTGATGGCAGTGGGTTTGGTTATGGATTTACATATTGTTTATTTTCTCAAGAAAACTCAAGGATTCTAGTATGGGTTCAGAAACTTCGACTTTATATAATTTGCAAGTGATGCACCTAAAACAAAGTATAAGGCAAAAAGTATTAGAGCAAAAAGTCTTTTTATATTTAGACATAGCAAATTACAGTGAAGATGTAACCTTTATGAATGAAGTAACGTTGTATCAGGACACACAAAACATACATTTAAAATAGGAAAAAGGGACAGAAACCAAAATATTACTAAAAGACTTTAACGTGACAAGTAGCCAAAACATAAAAAAGGATTTAGAAGTTATGAATTACATAAATAAATAAGTTTGATCTCATTCTCATAATAGTGGACACATCTTTTTTCCCAGCATCCACCAATCTACAAAACTTAAACATTAAAAAAAATCAAAAATTGGCAAAAATACCCATGCAGACATTGTTCAATTGCATTATCTTACCCATGTTAAAAAAAATTAAACCCATTAGGAAAAGTGTAAATTAAAAAAAAAACTCTAATATTTATAAACTTTAAAGCGGTCCCCTAAATAGTGCTTGGGTCAAAGAGGAAATAAAAACTGCAATTACAGACTACTTAGAAAACGATGAGAACTTTACATTTCATGCTTAATAGATGGAATCAAAAGCTTTACTCCTAGAAAAATATTTGTATTCATAAGCATGAAAGCCCAATTTAATGAACTAGAAAAGAGAAAACTACCGGATGTATTACTCCAACATCTATTTCTTTGACAAAAGCAATAAAATACCGTGGCAAATCACATCAAAGAAAAGGGAGAAAAAACAAAGCAATGTAATTAGAAATGAGAAAATGAACTGAACAGGCACATAGAGAAAAAATGTAAATTATAAAACTATAATATGTATAGCTTTATGCTAATAAATTCAAAAACCTGCTTGAAATCTATGTCTTTCTAAGAAAATGTAAATTACTAAAATTGATCCCAGAGAAATAGGAAACCTGAATAGTCCAATAACGTAAGAAGAAACTGGAAAATTAAAAAAACAAAAGCCCTCAAAAAGGGGCACCAACAAATCCTAGGAGCAATCCCATCAGCACCAGGAAAAGGGTACTATTTTGCCATTATTTAATGCAATAATAATAAAAAAACATAAGATACACATATTGGAAAGAGACAAAATTATTATTATATGTAGATGACATGATTGGCTGCCTAGAAAACAAAAGAGAAACTGAAAAATTGACCTAAAAAGGAGTTTAGCAAAGTGGCTGAAATCAAGACTAATACTCAAAAAATCACTCACTTTCCTTTATGCCAAGGAGGTTTTCTATATCCGTGCTACTTGGAGTGTGGTCCGTGGACCAACAGCATCAGCATCACCTGGAAGCTCATTAGAAATCCAGAATCTCAGGCCCTGCCCCAGAACTGCTGAATCAGAATCTGCATTTTAATGATGTTCAGGTGATTTGCAAGCACATTCAAGTTTGAGGAGCTCTGTCCTACTTCGTTTTCACCCATGCTGGAGTGATTCTATTCTCAACTTTTCTCCCTGCTGTGCTCTACATACTTGGTGATGTTCACTTGCTTTTCACACACATATGGATGGATCCAGTTATTAACAAAGACATAGCCTACCACCACCACTACCACAAAATCATTTTCCATGGAAGTAAAAACTCGTTGTCATTGAGTCAATTCCGAGTCACGCTGACCCCATGTGTTACAGACTAGGACTCCTCCTTAGGGTCTTCTTGGCTGTAATCTTTACAGAAGCCGATCACCAGGCCTTTCTTCCTTGGTGCCACTGGATAGGTTAGAACCACCAACTTTTAGGTTAAGTAGTGGAACGCAATCTATTTGTGCCACCCAGAGACTCTTCATAGAAGTAAAGTACAACAAAAACTTGTCGTTTCCGTTGCCATTGTTCGCCATAAGTTTCAGCAAAGATAAGCCAGGCTGCAGGTTACATTTCATTTTTATCCAAGTGGTAACATTACTGCCTTCCCTTCCACAAAAGAAAGCCTTCCAGAATGTAATCAAATGAGAATCATGTTATTTTAGGGATAACCTTGAATATGTATATTTTCATCTTTCTTAAACTGAAGGTAGCTTATTATACACGCTGTTTTGGAGCTCTGGTGGCACAGTGGTTAAAGCACTCAGCTGCTAACTGAAAGGATGGCAGTTTGAATCCACCAGCCACTGTGCAGGAGGAAGATGTGACAGTCTGCTCACTAAGGATTTACAACACTGGAAACCTCATGGGGCAGTTCTACTCTGTCCTATAGGGTTGCTATGAGTTGGAATCTACTTGATGGCACTAGGTTTATTTTTCACTTCTTAGTATCTCTTGGGGAGCCCTGGTGGCACAGTGTTTAAGAGCTTGGCTATCAACCAAAAAGTCAGTAGTTCGAATCCACCAGCTACTCCTTGGAAACCCCACAGGGCAGTTCTACTCTGTCCTATAGGGTCGCTATGAGTCGAAATTGACTCAATGGCAACGGGTTTGGTTTTTTGTTTTTCCAATTAAGTAGGGAAAAAAATTACATCTCTGCATCACTAATCTATAATTGAAATTCAGTATTTTCCCATTTAAGTGTAGGCAGCAAAGCTCAGGCATATTATCAGTGACTATGACTTTGATACCAAAAGTTATTCCAGATATTTTTATATTATATTACAGTTGTTACTGATATATTGAAATACTGTTTGTGCTCATAGCTACTTTGAAACTAAGTAGTTATTAGACCTACAGCTAGATTTTACTATTTAGTGGAGCAAATAAATTACTGTATCACATTTTTTATGTTTTGATGGTTGTATTCAATATCTTTGGTTTCTTTTACAATCCTATGCATTTTATATTTTGCATTTAAAACTAATATTCTGAGAAGCCATCCATAGGCACTGCCAATGGCATTTTAAAAAAAGAAAAAAGGTCAAGAATCCTTACAGAGAACAACTTCCCTTGGAAATTCTGCTGTAAAATTTCACTGTGGTCCTCATCACTTGCTGTGGATAGATCTGAGTTTCTGGCAAACATGGGCTTTCTCTGAATTGTAGGTTTTGATGCAGTTGGTGGGATGGAAGGCTTGAAGGAGAAGTACTTCTTGGCTCTGGCTAGCAACCGGACTGAGAACAGCAGCTGTGGGCTGCCCCGAGAAGACGCCTTCCATATTTTCCGAGACCCAGTGACCTCTGATCTCCCGTGGCCTGGGATCCTGCTTGGAATGTCCATCCCCTCCCTCTGGTACTGGTGCACGGATCAGGTACAGGGCAGCTAGCCCAGCAAGTGTCTCCAGGATGCTTCTCTTGTTGGGCTGGCTGAAGTCAGTGTTTTTCTCTCATTTGCATTTTCCCACACTCCTTGACTCCTTCCCAAGGCTCTATCTGCTATTTCACTTCTTGCCCTTGCTAATGCTATTGACAAATCCAAAGCTGGTATCTGCAAAGGGAAAAGCTGAATACAGTCTGCTGATGCGTGGTAGGATCCAGTAAGCAAAAGAGATGACAAATTTTAGATGAAGGTTGAGATGGATGCTAGATATCATTTGTTTAACAGACACTTGCTGGGCACTTGGAAATCATGAGAAAACAAAGCAGACAGTGCCCTCTGCCCTTGTGGACCTTCTAGTGGGCATAGACAGAAAATAAACACCAGAGACAATAAATAAGTACGTTACGTGGGGTTGTTAAAAGGTGATACATGCTATAAAAAAAAAGTAGAGTGGGTTGGGGGGATTGGCAGTGTGGGAATAAGATTTAAAATAGGGCGGTCAGAGAAAGGGCCACATAAACCAGAAACTTCATCAGCCTGAGACCAGAAGAACTAGATGGTGCCCGGCTACCACCAATGATGGCCCTGATGGGGAACAAAACAGAGAGTCCCTGATGGAGCAGGAGAAAAGTGGGGTGCAGAACTCAAATACTAGTAAAAAGTCCAGACTTAATGATCTGACTGAGACTGGAGGGATCCCAGAAGACATGGCTCCTGGACTCTCTGTTAGCCCCAAACTAAAACCATTCCTGAGGCCAACTCTTCAGACACAGATTAGATTTGACTATGGGACATAAAATGATACTCATGAAGAGTGTGCTTCTTAGCTCAAGTACATACATGAGACTAAATGGGCAGCTTCTGTCCGGAGGTGAGATGAGAAGGCAGAGAGGGCCAGGAGCTGGTTGAATGGACACAGGAAATCAGGGGTGGAAAGGAGGAGTGTGCTGTCACAGTACAGGGAGAGCAATTAGGTCACATAACAATGTATGTATAAATTTTTGTATGGGAGACTAACTTGAATTGTAAACTTTCACTTAAAGCATAACAATAAAAAAAGAAAAAGGTGGTCAGGGGAGGCATGATTGAGAAGTAAGGGTTGAGCAAAGGCTTTGAAGGAGGAGAGCAAGCCTCCGTTTGACTGCTGGGGGAAGAGTGTCGTGGCAGTGGGAACAGTCAGAGCAAAGGTCTTAAGGCAAATGCATTACTGATGTGAAAAAGAAAAACGAGAAAAGCAAAAAGCAGAGCAATGTGTACAATAAGCCGTCGTGTGTAAAAAAGGGAGGAGTAGAATCTATATCTGTATTTGCATGTGTATGCATAAAGAAACTTTGGTTGGATATACAGAAAACTACAAAGACAGGAGACTGGGCAGATGAACACCAAGGACAGATGGGAGCCAGTTCACTGCACACCTGGTTGTACTTTCTAAGATTTTCAACCATCGCCTATTCAAAACAACAAAAAAAATTACTACAATAAAGATCAGATCTACTGCATTAATATGTCAGAATTTTCTTTTTGAGCACACTTTTCTGGAAGAACACATTTGTTTTTCTGGAGCTCAATTTTATTTAATTTAACACAAGCCTATTTCGGATGTGAGTAAATGTGTAATTTCAGTTATTTAACCGACATAAGAGTTAAATAAAACATTAGAAAAAAATAGGTCTGATTGGCAATGATCAAATAAATCAGGAATTCTTAATATACAGTTTATGAACTCCTGGGGTGGATCTGAAAACCCACTGCCACTGAGTTGATTCTGACTCACAGGACAGAGTAGAACTGCCCCACAGAGGTTCCAAGGAGCAGCTGGTGGAGTTGAACTGCCAACCTTTTGGTTAGCAGCCAATCTCGTAACTGCTACACAACCAAGGCTCCAGGGGTGGCACCATGGTTAAGAGCTACAGTGAGCTACAGCTGCTAACCAAAGGGTCGGCAGCTCGAATCTACCAACTGCTCCTTGGAAGCTCTATGGAGCAGTTCTACTCTGTCCTATGGGGTCACTATGAGTCGGAATCGACTTGACAGCAACGGTTTTTGTTTTGTTTTGTTTTGGGGGCAGGGGTGGATCTATAAGTTTTTTGAAAATTTTTGTATGGGTGTATATTCATTTTATTGTTTTTTTTTTTCCAAAAAAAATCAGATACCTGTGTACCATTTTGGAAGCTATGTTGCATAGTCAGTGCTGATGTGAGTTTAAATAAAATAATGAACATGGGGTTGGAAAATGAGATTGCTGCAGGGGCCATTACAGAGAAAGAAACCCAGGTCCCACCCATGGGAGAGGACTCCTCTGGGTGAAGAGTTAAGTGCCAAGGCATCATGGCTGCAATATCCATACGCTGTCCCTTTAAGAGAGAGACCCCCTTCTTGTCCTTAGCAAATCTAAGGTGGGAGAGATCCTGGGAGACAGTACAGAGCTAGGCTAACAGCATGGGCGTTCAATCCAAGAGACCGGGGACATTATTTAACATCTCTGAGTCTCCATTTCCTCATCTGCTAAACGGGATTACTAATAGTTATAAAATAGGGTAACATAAGAAATTAGGACAAAGGCCTGTGTTGCAAGGACAGTTAATAAGCTATCAAAAAACATTATGATTTTTACTGTCATTTATGTTTCTGCTCTTGGCACAGTTCACCAGCATGTATTTAGTAAGTTTTACAAATACAGGTAGTCTCCGACTTAGGACGGGGTTCCTTTCCGAGGACTCTGTTGTAAGTCAGTTCTGATGTAAGTTGAAAACCTTTGGTTTTTTTTTTTTTTTTTAGTTTTCATTATTATTGCTTTATTATTATTATCTTTATAAATTTGATATTTGAACATCTGCAAGTGAACATCTGAGAATAATAACATGAGCAAGTTACTCGCTGCAGCATTATATGTAGTATATATTACTAACAAGATATGCGCACACACAAAACAACAGATGGTCTAGGTGCTGTACGAAGACGCAACTCGAATACATTGTAAGTCGGGGACTACTTACAATTACTCGAGATTCCTCAAACCCTTATCAGCAGGAATTCCAGTATCTATCTCTTGAAGTTCACCTCCACCCGACCCCACATTGTTCAAGAACCGGAGGACTTAGTCCAAAAGGGCCCGTTCTGCTTCCAAATGCCAGACAGGACAAGACAGCCAGCAAGCCTAGCCCCTCCTCTAACCCTGTGACTTTGGTCTTGGCCACACGGTGTTGCTGCTGAGCTGGATTCTGCACAAAGAGGGTGCTGGTTCACTGTGCTGGCGTTGCCTAGGAAACACACATCTTTGCCCACAGAACTATATCTGGGCTCATTTTAGAAGAGAAGAAAGGCAAGTCACCATTCATTGTTCACATTCCAGATCTTCTGGGATCTTCTTAGAAGAGGTTAATAATTCCTGATAATAATAGCTGCAGTAAACATTTACTGATGCCATAGGATGTGCTGGTCACTGAGCTAAGCATTTTATATGTATTAATTCATTCTCATAACATTCCTATGAGGTGTGTTCCATTACTTGGGCCTAGGCACTGTCTCATATGGTGAAACTCTCCTCCTTGGGCTTGTGTTTCTTTCCAAGCAGCACAGCTCTCTTAAAACTTAGCCGATTCTTAAATTCCTAGTAGGAGACACCACTCCATAGTCATAAAAGCCAGCATTCCCTTCAGTCACAGTTCTGGATCTGCAGGTAGAAGAGGCTTTGATTTACAAAGCTATAAACCCTTTCCTGTCTGCTTCCAGACAGAACTGATGCTTGCACGCCTCTGTTGGCACCTTATTGAAGCAATAAGAAGTATCCCCTAGACTCTGATATCTTTACATTTATGACCATATTCTTAGTGTTGTAGCCTCACCAGGAACATGTTTGCAGTCCTAAGAAATGACAATTAGACCAACTGCTACACAAGGACTGCTAACTTCTCAGGTCTGAATAGAAGGATCCTCCTTGGTGATCCTGATGCCTCTGGCAATTGTCTGACACTGTCTAGTCTCATGGATTCTGCAGATGACATGCTCCCCAAACACAACATTGCCTCCTAAAAATGTGTGCACATTTTTACTATGGAGTCTAAAAAAATGTTAGGAGTGTGGTGTGGGTTTGGGAAAATCTTGCTTCTCAACATTCTTTGCATTAAGGGTTCTTTGCTGATTTAGTGAGGACTCTTTTAGTTTATTCTTTTTTTCCTTTTTTTTTTAAATTGTTGTAGTTTAAGTGAAAGTTTACAATTCAAGTTAGTCTCTCATACAAAAATTTATACATGCATTGTTATGTGACCCTAGTTTCTCTCCCTATACTATGACAGCACACTCCTTTCCACCCTTGATTTCCCGTGTCCATTCAACCAGCTCTTAACCCTCTCTGCCTTCTCATCTCACCTCCGGACAGAAGCTGCC